TAAAAAGAGAATATAATGAAATTAACGAAGTAACCGAACAAAAGGTAAATTGTAGAACAAAAAAAATAAGCTTTGAATATTTCGGCACAATGTAAACCTGGAGCAGGGAAGTGTCGAAATGATTAGAATATAAATGAAAAAAATGGCATCATATGCGAAGGCAAGAATTGTGAAATTTGTAAAACTCTTGACACATTCAAACAAAGAGCAACTCTCCAAAGTCCAAGACCTTAAGTTGCTTCAAACTATAACAACACCCTTCATATGGAGACCGTGGAAGGAAAATTTAATGCAAAAGTCGATTGGCAATTATATTAAATGTAAAGCAGTGTCACTTACATCAGCTCAATGGTGCGTCTACGAACTCTTAAAATTACACATTGTCAAAAACTTCATCAAAGTTGACTATAATTGAATTCGACTTCTAGGCACTGCCACATAACACTTCAAAACGATATTCTAAGGCTACTTGAATCATATCTAAGTACGTAATGGACATATTAATACGATCTGCGTGATAAATTTCACGTTTTCCTTATCTGAATTGTCCAATCTTCTACAGTGTTCGTCTCATTGTGCCCATCGAACGTGGGGTCCTTGTACTCTGCGTAAGTTTCTATGACTTCATACTCTCGCAGCAGAAGATTTCGTACATATGTAATCGTAGTATCCACGAGCCCATCCACGAGTGCTTTGAGCGACGGTTGGTCCATAATCCTCCTTCGAAATACTTCCCGTCTTCGTTCGTCGATGTCATGTGCATTGGACATGTTTGCACTTGTAGAATGATCGTTATGAATAAGAAAAGAACGTTTGCAGCGCCCTTGTATACTTGACACTGCACAGTACAAGGTCATCACCTTGGAGTCGTTGTGGTAGAACTTCACTGCTGAATAGTACAACTTTGAATACGGTGCGAGCGCTTCTCGCGGATATTCTATTGTTCCACAACACCTACGACCACAACTATACAAACATTGTGGAGGATAATGCTCCCAGCAATCCGGTGTGACATCCACACCTCTTACACTGAGTACTGCACCATCGAAAACCACTTTAGGTGTGAAAAAGATAGACCCCATATCATGCCATATATTTTTGCCCCACACCATATTGCTTGGCGGCCATCCAGTCATTGAATGAACCATTCTGCAACACATGAAATACAGAAGCTCAGTGGCAACTAATTGATACAGCAATACGCTCGAATGAAATATGATTACCTCTTCTCAACGACGTACTTAAAGTCTACTAATCTTCATCATACGGAAGTAAAAGGAAAGCCAATGCAATATAGTTTAACTATATATGAATGGAAGCTCAATGACAAGTAAATGGTACACCAACACGCACGAAATGAGGCCTTCTCAGCGACTTATCCTATTGGTCTTCATCATCGGGAAGTGAAAGACATGCCAAGGCTTTCTCTCAAACCGATTTGGGAATGTGTACTTCATTTTTCAAATGCAACGTCCTTGATGACCAGCTACACAAAACACAGTTCACGTGCTGCCGCTGCTGTGCTGTTGTACTGCCTTTCTTCCATATCTTCTTCCATGCATTTGCATATTGCAGAGAAAGACTTTTGACGACAGGTTGTGACACCCAATATTCAATAAGAATATGATTGAAAGCAGGCGACTTTCTATCGTTGTCAATATCAGAAATTACTCTACCCATCCACACGGGAACTCCCTGATCGATATCATCTTGCGAAGGACGCAAGAGAACGAATTGTCCCTTTTCGACATCCACAACCGGGTCGAGCTCTGCTTTTGGACGCTCATTGGCTTGCCCAACGAACAACGGCTCCTTATTCTCATTGCTCTCCAAGAGGAAGGCAATATCAATATCCTCAGCATCGTCCTTCATAATTCTTTCCTGCAAGGGTCAAAAGTCAGCCTTGAGTGATGTTTTCGCAAAGCCAGACCCATAATTTTGCTCGATTGTGTCCAGGAAAAATTTCCAGTGTGAAAGAGCACTCTCCTTTGAGAAGCTAGCCTCATCTTTCATTCCCAACCACTCGTGCCGCTTGTTTTCCAACCACTCAACAAACGTCTTCACGCCTTCAATTCGTGATTTGAAATCCGAATTCTTATCCTTAGCGGGTTGACCACGTGATGTTTCTTTAACAGGTCGAATAGGTGACGGGAGAACAGGTGAAGGCTCGAATGGTTATTCAGGTCCTGCATATACTTTATTTTTATCTCGTTTAAAGCAATCGACCGGAGAAGACCAGTGCAGAGAAGTGCAATACTCTTTCCACTGGAACACAGGATTGTCATTCTCCATATAAAACCTAAATAAATGTGGCTTAGTATGACCGGTCAATCTGTTGATCAGGGAGGGTTGTTAAGCCCTCTGCCCGTCAGCAATTTCATCCATGAATGTGCACAAAGGACGCTTTTTTTTAGAACTGGTAACGATTTTGAAGAGGTCGAGCAAAGTATAAGCATCGTGCATTTTCAGTTTGCGACAGAAATGACTGAAAGTGGCATCAACATCCGTACGTGTATGTCCTACCAAAATAAAACCGAATTCGACTTCTTTGAAGAAGCCAAATTTCACCAAAGTTGCGGCCAGAGACAAAACGTATTTGTTTTTGTTTTCTCTCCAGCAGTTGTCGGCTTGTATCCTCAATTTAGGAGGTAAGTCGCTCGTCGCTTGTATGTCACGCAAAACTTTCACAATGGATGACACCACAGCATTGGAATCATATGGATAGCAAGGGTACCATGTGTGAACATGCACCGATGGTGAACGACCGTGTGCGATAATAACTGTTAAATTTGTTTTCATCTTTGGAATATTCGTGAATGCCTTCGACTTGTTTTCTCCGCCAAAGTGTGGAATACTCGTCTTGCTTTGGTCCATACCGTCAATAATGATGCATAAACTGTTGGAACCTGGTCTCTTCGACTCAACCTTCTACACCTCATAAGCAGCACGGTGTTGGAGATGCAAGTCCAAGTGTTTGTGGTGTTCCGAAACGAACTTCGCAGAATTGATAGATTATTTGAACTCAACACACTTCTCGCATTTTGCAAAGTTTTCATCAACTTTATGGAATTTCACATGCCAGAAGTGTGTTCTCCACATGTTATAGAAAACTTGGAGAGAAACAGAAGGGACACCCAAGTTGTCAAATTGTGACTTCAACAACTTATAAATGTCAACCTTGTTATAGCAAGCAGGCAATCTCAAAACCACTCGTGATTCTCCATCTTTGATTGTCATGTCATTGGTCATAGAATCTTTATTGTCACGCACAAAGGAGCTTAGTTTCCCGAACATCATCGCATATGTTGCAGATGTGCGTTTGAGTCCAGTGCTGCCATGCTCCGACATAATGTAACCTTTTGACAAAGTCACCCTCTTTTTCAAAAATGTGTTCCTGCACACACCAGTGTGAAACACCATGCATTAATGCACACCTTTCTTTTCCCCACAATAGGTTGTACAATCTCTTTCTCATCTTCTACGAAGGTGAACCTCTTTAACGCTTCAACCCAGCATGTATCTCTTCTTTTGTGATCCTTACAGTAATATGCACTGCGGACAACTTTGATGTCTTCCATGGTCATGCGAGCGCAACAATCTTGTTTACAACAAACTTGTCCATGCATACTCGCCAGTGCATTTTTGGTGAGCTTTCTGTGAACTGTTTACAGAATCTTCTTTGACCGCGGCATTTTGACACGGGAAGTATAAGGACGCTTCTCAGACGACAAACGTTTTGGGAAAATGTCATCAAAATCAGAGATGACATCAGAACTCTCCATACCGTTGCGACAGTAGTGGTCAGTGCCATCAATATCACAAGGTTGTGGATGATCAATTTTGTCTGGAGAACTGTTGGCAGTAGATGACATCGAAGCACTAGATTCAGAACCATCTTCATCACTCTCGCCAAACAGAAGGTCTGTGCACTTGAAATCTCGTAGCGAACTTCGCGGCACCTACATGATACGATCTACATCAGATGTGTTCCTGTCACTGGCGCAACCCCTACCCTGACCTTCCGAACCTTCTGCATCAGAGGTTTTCACTGGTCCGCCCAAGGCTGGAGATGCACTTTCGCATGTGGTTTCTTCACACGCAGCCATCCGGGATCTTTTATGATCAGGAGATTCTGGAGTTAATTGAACGTCTTGCGAAAACATTGCCAGGTCCGGCGGAGGGAACTCATCATTAGGCAGTATATTAGATGCCACACAGTCCATGCTTTCCAAAGTTGTGCTGGCAGCTTGCCGTGGTGCATGCCCACCACAAGCCATTTAAAACGTTTTTGCGATGACAAAACAGTGGACCATTGGCACAAGACATGCATATTAGTAACAAATCCGCAGCTAGATGGATCACATGCAGTATATGTAGAGTGCAATACATGTGGTTTAGCGCGGCCACTGCTAGCCACACACAGCCGATGTAAAAGATCAGGCTCGTGAACGAGGAAAAAGACAGTCTTCAACAGAAGCGATGCACGAGAGACACGACGACTGGCTGTCGTGTTGAACGCGATGATCTCCCGCCGCGGTCATGTTGAACACGACGATGCATCATCGCATTGCACAACACGACAGGCGCACGAGGCAACAACCACCGTCACCGTATTCTCATGACAGCGCGGTCATGTTCAACATGTCCGCGCTCGACCGTTGTCTTGTCGCGCTCGATACCTGTGTCTGCATGACAGTCGCCGCCGTTGTATTGAAGACGACGATGAGCGACCTCCGACGTGTTGAACACGACGGTGCTTTTGTGGTGAACATGTCCGCGCTCGACCGTCGTCGTGTTGAACATTACCACCGGCACAACGGCGATCCAACGTGGTCGAGTTCAACACTACGAAAGCGACCGTCATCGCATTGAACACGACCGTGGGGCCGTGGGTAGCCACCGCGGTCGTGTTCGACATGATGACAGCGACCGTCATCGTGTTGAACACGACGATGTGGTCGTGTCCAGCACGTGGTGTACATGCCCGCGCTCGACCGTCATCGTATTGAACACGACCGTGGGGTCGTGGGGTGCCACTGCGGTGGTTTTCGACACGATGACAGCGACTGTCATCGGGTTGAACACGATGGTGGGGTCGGGGGGTGCCACCGCGGTCGTGTTCGACACGATGATAGCGACCGTCATCAGCTTAAACATGACGGTGGGGTCGTGTTCAGCACGTGGCGTACACAACCGCGCTTCAACCATCATCGTGTCGAACACGACGGTCGTCATGTCGGACTCGATGATGGACGGCTCTGCGAACGGTGGGAGAAATTTTGTTGACGTCCTGAAAAACCACGAACGACGAATAATGGAAGGGGATGGGCGCGATTGGGGGGTTGGGGGGGGGGGGGGGGGAGATGGGGTTGGCGGGGTGGCGGGGGAGGCGAGGATTCTGAACTCACCTGGGTCAAAGGAGGCACGAATCGGAGCAGTAACGCAGCTGCCGTGGAGGAGCAACGCAACTGTCTGTCGCGTCGATGCAAAGGTGACACTGCAACGGCCTTTTTCCGGGGGAGCGATGCAAGCGAAAGACCCTTGGATCCTCCTGCGGGGCCCGTTTAAACAGTCGCGGACGGCACTGGAAGTCGAATCGTCGCCCCCCTTGGCACCGACTCTCACCGCGGCACCGGTTCTCCCCGTACCCGATCCTGGCCCTCAACCGCCGGATCGACAGCCCAGACTTTCCCGGGATTCGAATCGTCGCCCGCTTGGCACCGATTCTCACCGCGGCACCGGTTTTCCCCGCACTCGATCCTGGCCCTCAGCCGACGGATCGACGGCCCGGACTTTTCTGGGATTCGAAAAATCGCTCCCGCGGCACTGATTCCCCCGCGGCACCAGGTCCCGAACCCACACCCCGCATTCCTTTGCAGGCCCTCCACATAAAGTATAAATAGTGGTGTGGGCCCACCATTTCCCATTTTTGCCAGTTTGTCGAGAACAACGGAGCGTTGAGGAGGTTCGCGAAGCGCCCGAAGCCGGCGGAGCACTGACTCGCACATCGGAGGCTCGCGCAGAACGCAACGGAGATCCCGCTCGCACATCGGAGGTTCGCCTAGCATCGGAGCGAAGTTTCGAGCATCCGCATCGAAGGCAGCAGCGGAGACCTCGGAGAACGGTAAACCGCCGTGAAGCAACCACGTGCTGCCACGTGGCATCTCCGCCCATGCAGAGGCCGCCATCGAGTCGAACACGACAATGGCCCGGGGTCATCGTCGAGTCGAACTCGGCAATAACCCGGTCGTTCCGACTCGACAACGGCCTGTGGTCATTGTCGAGTTCGACTCGACGATGACCCCGAGCCATTGTCGAGCCGGACTCGACAGCGGACTGGGGTTACTGTCGAGTCGAACTCGACAATGGACCGGGGTCATCGTCGAGTCGAACTCGACAACGGCTTGTGGTCATTGTCGAGTCGGACTCGACAACGGCTCGGGGTCATCGTCGAGTCGGACTTGACAATGGCCAGAGGCCTTGGCGCTGGTCGACCATCGACTTCGACTCAACAGTGGCCAGCCGGTCGTTATCGAGTCGAACTCAACAGTCGGCTAGCAGGGCGTCGTCGAGTCGAACTTGACAGTGGCCAGTAGGGAGTCGTCGAGTCGAACTCAAAGGTCGGCATGCGCCAAAGCCTCTGGTCGTTGTCGATCAGCGCCAAGTCGTATGGCCATTGAACTCGACAATGAACCGGGGTCATCGTCGAGTCGGACTCGACAACGGCATGGGTCATTGTCGAGTCGGACTCGACCACGACCCGCGTTCATCGTCAGGTCGGACTCGACAATGACCTCAGGCGCTGGCCGGCTGTCGACTTCGACTCGACAGTGGCCAAAGGCCTTGGCACTGGTCGGCTGTCGACTTCGACTTGACAGTGGCCAGAGGCCTTGGCGCTGGCCCGGGGTCATCGTCGAGTCGGACTCGACATTGGCCAGAGGCCATGATGTCGGCCCGGGGTCATCGTCGAGTCGGACTCGACAATGGCCAGAGGCCTTGGCGCTGGCCGGCTGTCGACTTCGACTCGACAGCGGCCAGCCGACCGTCGTCGAGTCGAACTCGACGGTCGACGACGGCCGTCTGAGCTTTGTCGATTGTCCGTCATCGAGCTCGACTCGACGAACGCGACGATGGATAGCCGCCGATGGAATTTGTCGTCTGATGTGGTCGTCAATCGTTTGTGTGTGTAGGACATTCACAATGGCTCACCGCTTCGATTACTCGTTCCCTTCGCATGCTAGCGCGAGGTACATACGAGGTTCAAGGCGGGATACTACTATACTTGGGGCCCGTAGAGAAGACTTCGACATGGACCCTTGGATGAGCGTTGTGCCCTGTCTTGAAAGGCCCTTCGATGCATGGTCCGAATTAGACTGGGAGAACACCATGAAAGACTGTCCTTGGGCATCTGATTATCGACTAGCTTCCAGCTAGGAATGGGGGACATTCATCTTCCTCGACCACATCCTCGTGACGAAACACACACCGGTGTTGTCTGCAATATTTCGTACCCGGGACCTATCTTTATCGTTGACTGCACACAACGTGTCGTGTTCGCCGTGCTTGTGGGGACCATCGGTGAAGGAGGAGTTGCTGGACTGTGCGAAACAGAACCATTTTCTAGAGAAATATCCCCTTCCCTTCGAGGACAACTTGACGGGGAGTGTGTCGTACTTCTGCGTGCATGTTGAACTCTGTCGTTTCTCTTTCGCTACGGTTCTGTGCGTATCGGTAAGAAATAGAAGTAAGACTTCAGGGGAGGCAAGTATTTACGTGTCCAGGAACGAGCTCATCGTTGACGGGGACTCGATTATGCTACCGCATGGTTATAGGAACCGTAAGTTTGATGTGAAACTGGCGGGGCAGGTTGACGCACCTCGGCAGTGGGAGGAGGTCGAGGAGTACGTGACGGTCATTCGAGATGCCATCGGTCGCACTTTAGCCAGAGCATGTGGTTTCGTCCGTGCGCGATACGTGTCTCACTTCTCCGCCACTGTTACCCCAAGTAGTTCACAACTCCTAACGTACGGTTCATCCCTGAACGCATTGTACGGTTTCGGGGCAAAACGATAGGCGAGATCGTGGGGGAGATCATGGGATATGAACAGTGTAGGACATGTCAGCTATTCCGCTGTTCAACAAAAGTGACAACTGAGACTATGTATGCGTGGGAGCGGTGAGTTTGATGTGAGATTGTCGATGTCGGTTAAAACTCTCTGTCCCTCTCTCTCTCTCTCTCTCTCTCTCTCTCTCTCTCTCTCTCTCTCTGTGTGTGTGTGTGTGTGTGTGAGCGAGAGAGAGTGATTAGTAACAGGTTGTGCGTACTGTTAGTCGCTCGTTGTGGGTGCAGGTTGCATGCCTTGCCAATTGAATGCTTTGAATTGATAATCGATGTACGCTTTCAAGTGATGTGCCTTGTTGGTAACGCCGCTCCCTATTCAGCAAAAGTGTGAACTGAAACTATGTGCGCGTGGAAGATGAACAGTGCTAGAAATTTGGGCTATTCACCGAGAGTGTGAACTGCGACTGTGTGTCGATGCCGTTTACATACGTTGGGACCGTTTGTCGCTCGTTTTGGATGCCTGTTGCATGCCTCGCCAATTGAATGCTCGGATGTAGGCTTTCGATTGATCTGCCTTGTTTGATGTGACTTTTGTCAAGATGGCCACCAACGAACGAGTCCAGCCTGATCGAGTCGAACTGTCGTGCTGGCCCGCCACGTTCGAGTCGAACTCGATCGAGTCGCGATCTTCTGGGTCGCGCTGGCCCACCACGATCGAGCTGGCCCGTCATGCTCCAGTCGAAAAAGATCGCCTGGACTTACGATCGAGTCGAACACGATCGAGTCGACCACGATCGAGTCGAACACGATCGAGTCGAACACGATCGCCTGGACTCACCATCCAGTCGAACACAATCGCCTGGACTCACGATCGAGTCGAACACGATCGCCTGGACTCACGATCGAGTCTAACACGATCGTGTTGAATACGATCGACACGCACACGATCGCCTAGACTTACAGTCGAGTTCAGGCAAACGCAGCAACTGCGATCGAGTCGAACACGATCGAGCTGGCCCATCGCGCTCGCGCCGAACAACATCGTGTTGAGCACGGGCACAATCGCGATCGAATTGAACACGATCGTGGTCGATTCGAACTCCATCTCCGGGGCTGCCTGGTCACGAAGGAGCTGCGCTGCCTTACCACTATCTGAAACTTTTCTGCTCCTCATGCCATGCCGACGTTGGGCGACCTTCTGATTTTTGGCTTTGCGGTGATGTGCTGTGTTGCTTTCAGATTCGGCAGTGCTGCAAAACATGGAAGGAGAGGGGAAGGCAAGTAAACGACGAGCAAGTAAGAATTCTGGGAGCATGGAACAATCTCCGAAAAAATCGAAGGGGACACCAGCTGCTGGGGTTGGGAGTCAGGAGGCACCGGGGTCTAAGCGGCAACGCACCCCGGTTCCGAAGGGTGCACCTTCCATGGGCACTCCGCTGAGTCGTGTTCAGGGCTCTGGACCGGATAAGGCTGTGTTGATGACTGGCGAGCCTGTGGGTCAGGACCGTGTGCCTAGTCCGCAGCAGGGAAGATCTGCAGTGGAGGTTGTGCCCGGACGTAAACCGTCTGGTGAACGTAAACCCTCTGGTGAAACGGCTATTGCGGGTCGGCAAGACGATGTGCCCGTGGTTGATCACACAGACAAGTTCTGGATGCTGGACTTGGTGGGGGAGATCGGACAACCATCGAGTGACCTTGTTCTATATGTGGTCATCAAAGAAAATATTGTGCCGGTTGGCGGCCTAGTGAGGTGGACTGGACAAAATGCGCCATCTGCAACGTTCGAGTTGACGATGGTCCTCAATGGAAGAGGGGAAAGAATATCGACAGTTAAACATGTCGCTCTTCGATGGGCCAAACACGCGGGGTTTGGAAAGTCGCTGGTTGATGTGTTCAACCCAACAGGGACAGCGAAAGTGAAATTGCCTAACCTCGTCGACGTCCTCGGGTTTTTCGACAGTAATGTGATCGTCGGCGAAGAGCCGGTTGTGCAATGTCATCCAGAGGACCGCATATCGGAGCCTAAATGCGTGCTTTCGAAAACCGTGGAGACAGGGCCTTCGATCACGATCCGCGATACACCGCCTGGTCCGAAAGCTGGGCAGATTAAAGAGAAGGGTCCGTGCTGCGGACTGGTCGTACCGTGAGCCCCTATGAAGATCAGGCCAACGGTGACCAAAGCACCAGTTGCCTTGGGCAGCCGACCGCGCTATGTTGCGGCCACCAAGGGACCTCTCCCCTTGGTGGGCCAGCATTGCTATGACTACACTATGCCAAGCCGCGCAGAGGAAGCCCATGAGTATTTTGAAGATGAGGATGAAGAGAACAGCGAGGAATATTCGAAACGAGTAGGAGGACAAAAACAGTATGCTGCGGGTGTCGGCGGCATGACGAGGCATCCAGGAGAGACAAGTAAAGTAGTTGGACAGGATGAAGACAGTGAGCAAACTATGAGCGAATTGGGTGGAGAGGTTGGTCTGGCAGGAGGATATGGGAGCAGCTACGAAGGATGTGAGGGGGATGTGTATCCAACATGAGGGGGGTTGCACCACGCGACAGTGGTTGTGGCTGGGCATACATATGTTGCAGGGCTCGCTGAGCGAAAGAGGAAGCACAGGCAGGAGAGGATAAGTCTTATGGATAGTAAACGGAGTAGGCAAGAAGCGGGTGAAAAAAGACAATTGAAAAAATTGCCCGTGGATGAGGCGGTCCAGCGAACACGGGAGACTAAGGCGACCACGAAAAAAAAGCAGCAGCCAAAGAAAAGAAAGGCAAAATGTGGTGTCATGGAAAAGACTTCCGTTTTTCCAGCAGAATAACCACAATCGAATGAAGAGGCCAAAGGCAAGACAGTTACTAGGCCGCCAAGTTTGCGAAATGTGTCATCGGTGACTTTTTTCGGTGTTCTCAGCAAAGGCTTCTTCCTTAAGTTGGACGAGCCTGGGAACCAGTGCCCAGACGTGGAATTCATTTCTATCCAGTTCAACAGAATTCTGGATATCTCCGATGGGGAATTCAGATACAATCAATGCTATCTTGTGCAGCAGACGATTGATGACATTTATGATGCAATGGTTGCATCGGGTGAGGCTGCTATCAGAGAGAGAACGACTGGAGCTGCCGGTGTGAATGTTTGTACATTGTATGAAAAACCTGTCCTTTTGTTGGTTGCCCTCCGTGATACATTGCATACTGACGCTTCAGGGAGGATTGTGAGAGCAAGGAGGGTGTTGCCCGATGAATTCGACCTCGAATCTGTGAATAAGTATTACTACTACCCTCTTAGCGGTCAGCATAACGTGGCGGCGGCAAGAAGGTGTTTTGTTGAACGCCCTGACATCGCACAAGAGCTCCGATTGGATCGCTGAACTGCGAGGCCTGTTTATTATCCGGATAAGAACATGGACAATTACTGTACACTGAACACTTTCTAGAACGCCAAGGACAAATGGAATACCCCACCGCACCAGATCGTGGTCATCAGGAACATACGGAAGTTGTGGCATAAGTCGAACTGTCCTGAAGTTAAAGGCGGCTCAGCGGCAGAAGTGAAAAATGCAGATTATAGAAAGTTTGCAGGAGAGGCTCTTCGTTTGACAGGGATTCGTAATTTGGTTGACATGTCCCTTACTAGTTAATGGAGCGGCCAGTGGTCTGACGCCCTTGGGCCCTACATGTTGTTGCCAAGGGCGACAGATGACGTTTTCAAAAAGGTGAAACAAGTGTACGCCGCTTGGGAAGCTGGACAATTGTCGGGGAGAGATGCTGTGAAGCCTGCTACCAAACAAGGTGAATCAGGGAAGGCACCGAGGGCTGGATCCGGATTTGAGTTGCAAGGTGGAGTTAGGTATCCGGTTCACTGGGTTCAGGGTACCAAAAGACCGGGTTACCTCGTGGTTGTGCACGATCCGGATATCAGAGCATGAAAGCCTTTTTCAGCGCTTGGGAGGCGTGAGCGGCTTCAACTGTTGCGAGACATTCTCACAGGCAATGTACTACTGACTCCTAAGCAAAGTGGAGCTGCTCAACGTGCCGGAAAACATTCAACGGAGACAGGTGAAGATTGAAAGAGCAATGTTGAGGATTTTTCACTACTTCGTCTTCATTTCCGACCCTCACAGGAAGACGTCAGAGTGGACGGAACTATTCTTCAACAACCTTTCCGATTTGTTTGATAACTACTGTGATGAAGGATTGACGTCCGAGAGGTGGATTGACCAGCGTCGCCATTTCAAAGACATGAATTGGGTGCGAACGTTCCCGGCTACATTTGGAGGAGAGAAGGAAAAAGGAGAAGAGAGCTTCAAGAAAACAGCATCACGTGCTGCGAAGTGCCCCGAAGACTTCGTACAGTTTGTCAACAAGCTGCTGCGCAGATCAGAAACCAGGGGTTCGGAAAGCATAAGAATGCCAGGCACGGCGAAGTATATACATTTCAAAAAATAGAACGTGAACTCTATTTTCATCCCGTTCCAATGGGAACCGAGCGATATTTCAGATGAGATGGATTCCAAGAAAATATATAGAGTCGTCAAACTTGACACACGGCCGTCCTGGATTTGTGTCACCCAACCCAGATAGGGGTGTGGACTGAAGAAGTCTTTGATGGTCTGCAGAAGTTCATGGGAAAACTGACTGGTGATTATTGGACATTATTATGCTTCGTTCCGCAGTCTTGCGTGTATACATTTTTCAAGCGAGTTACAAGTTGGGAGATTGACATTCACTTTTCTATTCTAAAGTGGACTCGTCAACAACAAATGAAGACGAAGCATTCATGCAAGGTTGCGAACTTGCCTTTGGAGGACACAAACAGAACGGTTGTCATCATGTACTCCAACGATGGGGATTATCACCGCAACACTATTCCCTTGCTTGAAGACATTCCAGCAAGCACTCGAGCTGCAGATCGATCATCTGGCGAGCAAGCGGGTGACTTATCAGCACTTGTGTGCAGAGAGAGAAGGTCAAAGATGTTGGTTGATGTCGTGGAGAAGAACTTCACGCCCACGAAGTTGAAAATGGCAGGTATGGAGCCAAGGGAGAAATTTTTGTACGAAGGTATGGAAAGGGAGCCAAATGCGGTGTTGGACACATTGGAGCATTTTTGTCCTGCGGATGAGGCGGTTGTTTTCCTGGGAAGAGGTCATGCGGCGTTGATTTGGGAGTTGTTAAAGAGTCACCGTCATTGCATTATTTTGGAAGGGGAGGGTATGAAGTTCGAGTTTCTCGTTCAATTCGTCACCAAGATGGTCAAGAGTGGAGTTTACTTCGCCAAATTTGTTAAGCCGCCTCCTCGACATAATGAAAAGCGTGATCTCGTCTACAAAGTCGGCCAAAACATCGTCAACATTTGGGAGTTTCTTTTCGAGACTAAGCCACAAAGCAGAGGGGCACGTGCATATGTCACTAGAAGGCAAAAAATGGAATCACTTCTGAGGGGGTATCATAAGGCACCGGCGGAGACGGAAGTTGCATTTCTAGACCATTTGGAGGGGTCTTGTCTTTCAAACCTTTGCTTGTTGACTTTCTCAGTAATCCCTCCTCACGGCTGCGGCTGTTGACCTGGAGCCTTGAGGATTTGGTATTGTCCTTCTCTACTATTCGGCTGTTTCATGAGAAACGTACTCGTTTTAGACTGCGGCTTATATTGTCTAAGGTTATTTCTTTTCGATTTAATCTTCCTATTCATAGACATTTGGTTGCGAAGATTACATATGACGATGCGCTTTGCAAAACGGAAATTCGGAGAATCTGTATTGAGCTCATTAGACAACTTGATATAGAAGAGGTATGGAAACCGGTGCTTGTACGAAGGTTACGACTTGTGTGGCGGAAGAATYGTACTGTCGGTAGTTTCCTGCATAATTTTCGTCCGATCTCTCGTACTTCCTCTCATGTMTGTTCGTGCTCCTGCACTGATAAGTCTTTTCCCCGTAGTGGTGGACACGTTGCTTTCCGCTTGAGTGAGGTTGACTTCTTCCCTGGGTGGTTGACTAATTCTCGCAACATCGTCAAACCTTCGCAATCCTCAATCATTCGTGATCTTCGACGCCAACTCACGGAATCTTTCCTTTCTATTCAGCAACTGCGTCTTCCTGCTCGTCACCCCTTGCTTAGCAACCAATCATTGTCACGCTGCATATCTTTTGTTTCGTCTTTTCTGACCTATCTTTCTTCTTCTTCTTCTTCTTCTTCTTCTTCTTCCACATATTCGTCTCCCACTCTATCTTTCTCTGACTTTTCTTCCTTACCTTGTACCGTTGACTCTATCAAGGCTCTTCTTGCTTCCCTAGACGGTTTGGTTCGTTGTCCTATCGATCATAACCCAGGAGATACTTTCGTCTGTTGTCCCTGTGTTTACAATGACGACATGAATAAGTTGTTTTTACAGCACGACGACAAGACCCCTGATGATGGTTGGTTGGCGGACCAACCGAAACTAGTCGGGTCCTACCGCCATGTTCTTCATCGATGTATCTTACGATTTTTCGTCGCGTTCGGGTTTTTTCTACTTCTACGTATTTTGCCTTCCTTTCTTGTTCTCTTACTTTCTCCTTTCTTCTCTTCTGTCCCGACTAGTCCGAGTCATCTGTCACCTATCCTCTGTGAGTATTGACGCCACCTCTTGATGAATGATCTAACGAAGTTGCTGTGTACGCTCACATCTACTTCGATTCACGAAGTAACCTCGGTAGGAATTAAACTACGTGATTGTGTGGCTTCTACATAGTGTTAGGTGTTCATTCATTTGTCTTCCACGATGGCGTCCAACTTCTCATCATCCATTGTCCATACCTGTTATAATTGTGGTGATCCCAACCATTTCGTTAGGTGGTATCCTCATCCCCCCTGTCAGAATCAAGCTAGTACGGCTCTTGTCCCTGCGTCTACCCCAATCCTCACTACCCCTGCTTATGTTGTTGCGTCCTCTTCGGCAGTCGTTCCACATGTGGCCGGTGGGTACCAGAATACTTCGAGTTACACCAAAGGCAATGGTTGGCACCAGGCGAGGCAGCCGCTAGAGTACCTTGAGAGTACCGTGGCTGCTATCAAGATCCGACATGATGCTGAGGTAGAACGGGAGAAGAATAAACAAGTTGAGGAAGATCATATCAGGAAGGAGAAGGAGGATGAAGAGAGAAGAGCGAAGGATAAGTTAGAGAGAGAAGAACTGAATAAGTCAATGATGGACAACATGAATAGGAGATTCGATACTATTTGTATGGCACTATCCGGCAAGAGGCTCGACGAGATTGAGTTACCACACAAGTCCGAGGCGCTTCGTGCCACAGTACCAGTTGCGACAACTCAGAACAATGATGATGTGCTCGCCAAACTGATGGCAGAGCAGGAGAAGATGAAGATCCAGTTGGAGGAGGCTGCAGCAGTTGAAAGACGCTTGGAGAAAATTGAAAAAGAAATGGTGAT